GCCACGCTAGTGCTCCCGCCACGGGTGCATCAGGCTACAATAAGAGCCCTAGAGCCATGCCCATATCAAGCTAAGGCGCTAGACCCGTCGACGTGATCTGACTAAGCTGATAATACTTAAGCCTATCGGTGCATTGATAGCCTCAGCCAGGTCTTCGCTATTAATAAAAGTTAGGCAGCAATTCTGACTTCTGTATCTTTTTGCAACTTAAAGGCATTAGAATCAGTACCGGTGCTGCGGCGCTAAGACCTTGATCCTTGAGTAATAGGACACGAATAAGGACGTATATCCAAACATTCAACACGTGACCATGGTCGATTCGATAAGGTAGGGAGCCCAAAAGCGTAGGGAAACTCACGCTGAAGTTACTACAAAATGCAGCAAAGACATGTGGTCGAGGGCCTTGGAAACTCTCCCACCCGACGAAAAGGGCCGACTGAAGATCTTTGTCGATGTCGACGCCGACGGGCCAGAGGTGTTGAGCGACATCCTCCAGGCCGCTCAGCAGAAGAAGGTCGAGGCACAGGAAAAGCGGTGGAGGTTTACCTGGCATGGTCATACCTACATCGTTAGAGACTATTTGGAGAAGATTATTGCCTGGGTAGAAAGGTTCAAGGCTGTGGGTGATACAGCTGTGCAGTATGACCCTACTCATGCGGCGCTGCCTTGGGCCTGTGTTCGCTTCTTCCTCCAGGCGGCCGTCGATAACGTGCGGGCTTTCGGCATCATGGCTGAGAACATGAGCCAGGTTGTAAATCTCATTGCTCAATCTGCGATCGTGGAGGACCTGTATCTGGGTCGCAACCTCAAGATTGCCCGCCTCCTGGAACAGTCACTCACTCGACTGTATGCTCGTATCCTGCGTTTTCTGGACAGAAGCGCCAACTACTACTCGAACGGCACGGTTAAAAACTTGGCGAAAAGCGCGCTCGGTGACTTGGAGGCTACAAAAAGTATTTCCGATCTGGTCGCCGTCGAGCAGGACGAAATCGAGCGTTGCATGGGGATTGCAGAAGCCGAAATTCGTGAGCTAGATGCCGCAGAGTCAGAGCAAGCTCAATTTCAATACACGACGGACATGAAGAAAATCTTATCGGCCCTAAAATCTCCAATTTGCAGGATTGCCGCAGACACATCGCAACTCCTAAAGCTATCCCAAGAAACTGATCGCCAGACCATATTGAGGTCTCTCTCCACGTTGCCGTATCCGTCTCATCACCAGGCTGCGGTCCGTGGGCGTTTAGATGGGTCAGGAGAATGGCTGTTACATCACCAAGCCTTTCGCAGCTGGCGGGGAAGCAGTTCGTCCACGATTCTTTGGCTGCACGGCATCCCAGGCTGCGGGAAAACAAAGCTCTGCTCGGTTGTCATCGATTCGATAAAAGCCATAAAAGCTGAATCGGCTGAGCTTCTGGCTTTTTTCTACTGCGCCAGAGATCCGCGAGAACCTTTGCGAGGACAGTGCAAAGCCGCTGTACAGAGTCTTCTACGGCAAGCTGTAGCTATGTCCCCGAACCGAACAGTCCCGAAAGCAGTGAAGACTATGTATGAGAAGATACAAGATGAGGGCTTCGAGGAACGTGAGTGGTCGTTGAAGGAATGCAAAGACACTCTCATCCATGTCATGGACATCTACCCCTCACTAACAATCGTTATCGACGCCCTGGATGAATGCGACGTGGATGAACGGATGGACCTCCTCGTCTCGCTTAAGGAAGTGAGAGACAAGTCTGCGAATCTGGTCAAAATTCTTATCTCAAGTCGTGACGATGTTGATATTGTCTCATCGCTAGCCGATACGTCAGACATCAGAGTCAGCGCCGCTCACAACTCTGTGGATATCAACCGATTCGTTGATGAGAGAGTTAGTGCGCTCATGGACTCTCGAGAGAACCTCTACGGCCCTGGACTTCCGGGACTTCGCCAAGATGTTGCGTCAGTTTTGTCAGAGAAGGCTGAGGGAATGTGGGTGTTTTATAAAGAGTAAACAGTCATTGAAACTACTGACATATCGAAGGTTCAGATGGGTAGACCTGCAGCTCGAAACGTTGAAGCGTGCGAAACTCGACCAGGACCTCAAGTCTCGGCTTGGCCGCCTCCCACGAACCCTTGACAACTCATACTACGCAATCTACTGCGCCATCCAAGACTCTGGGACTTGTGCAAAACTCCTTGCCAACGGCGTGTTTCAATGGCTGCTCTATGGACAACAAGCGATAGAAACGGAGACATTCGCGGCCTTCATCTCCCTTGTTACCGGGGCCTCGGTTATCCCGCTGAAACCACAGCACCTGTTGGACATTTGTGGAAATCTGGTAGAGATTGACCCAGCACTCAACGTCTTCCGCTTTGTCCATCTGTCAGTCCGCGAGTTCTTCGAACATTTCCAGGGCCGTGGAGATGAGACATTCACCCCGTCAAAGGGGCATGCAGCCTTGGCCCACCACAGTTTGCTGCACATATGCTCCAGCCTGGCTCCAAATCGCATAGCCGCCAACCAGGAGCTGTTGGGGGAAGGCATCTCCTCGTACCCCATTTCCGAAAAATCAGTGAAAAAGTACGTGGACCAGTACTGGCATGAGCACGCCAGGCTAAGCGGAGAAAATCGTTATAAGGTCCCTTTTCAGCCGCTATTCGACACTTTTATTAGACCTCATCCAGATTCCTCGATATTCGAGATCTGGTGTCGTACCGCCGCTTTTGATGGAGTCACGGGACTGGAGCTGGAAAGGTGTTACTCAGCTACCAGAAGCCCGGCCCATCCAGTGTGGCTGGCGTGTGCTTTTGACTTGGAGAAGGCCATAGACTTCTGCAACTGCCAAGGAGGGTTTGACACGGAAATGAGAACAGGTGTTTCTCTCACCCCCCTACTCGAAGCTGCTAGACTCGGTAGCCCTAGCACCCTTCGCAAGTTAGTGGAATGCGGGGCCGACGTCTGGGCAGTGACGGCCAACTACCGCAAGGGCGTCGCGGACTTTGCCCTTGAGAATGGGCATACGTCTGTGATTGAGCAACTTGAGGAGCTCGGTCTGATGAAACTTTTCGCATCAGTCAAGGCCAATGATGGCATGGGCTCCTCTTGCCCGAGGAGATTGGCCAAAGATGAGGCTGCTATAGAGGAGAAACCATCTGTTCATGTCGACTTTCTTGCTCATGAATGGAAGGATGGAGAATTCTGGGCCTCTCGGAGATACCTAGCGTCTCACGGATCCGAATACGGCAACAAAGCTCGCTTGGAAAACGCCGTATGGCGTGCTTGGACGAAGGCTAAGGATGGTCTAAAGACCGTGCCGCCAGAGAAGCTTAATTGGTTAATCCCCTCCTCCGTCTCTGCTTCTTCTTTCGGCTTACCATTCCCAGGTTGAAAGATTGCGATGTGACCTGGCTTTATGGGCCAATGATTACGGGCTCGAATACAAGCCCAAACGGTTTCAAATCAACAGAAAGCAGGTCTTTCAACGAGAACGAGTTTACAATCCCTCTGCGTGGGAGGGAAATAAAACATGTTCACTTTAACGAGCAAGTTATGCAAGCCATCTCTGTGGGTCTCAGAGAGGAGGATGTGGATGTGTATGTTGACCCCCCAGACAATGGCAATCATGAGGATCGGAACGAATGGCTTATTTCAGAGGAATCCGAGGACATTTATTCATTAATTATAGGCCAGAGGACGGTAATGCTTCCACCAACAACACTTAGGCCCTGATCTTTCCGTGCCTACTGCCAACTACCAGTCGCTAGCGCTTATATAAGTTTAGATTTACTTAGACTGTTTTTTTTTAACTATGATAGCGCTATCAGATCCGGTCTCTCAGTGATACTAAAATTATTTAACGTCCTTTTTAAATAAATAATTTAACTATATTTAAAAAATAAGTAATAACGAGTAAAACTTCTAGCTCTGTTAAAATAACTATTTTAATATTCGAGCTATTATACTCAAATAACAAAGTAATATAATTCATGGATATATCCATAGTTCTAGCATTGTTTATGGGGATTTTCGAGTTTTCGCATACTGCGAAGGGCAGATTCTGCGCGCTATGTCTACCTAATCCCGCTCAAGTAACGTCAAGCCCACCCTCCTAACCGTTACTTCGGGTCGTCCTACAATATAGCACTACAAGAATTATACTCTTTGTCATAAATAGAAAAAACGTTAGATCAGGAAGAGGTCAGCGCCTGGGGCATTATTACAAAGGACAACATCGTCACTGTCGGCAAGATGATCAACGCCGAGTGGGAAACGATTTCGGAGCAGGTCCGGGCCTCGAGGCGCACCGCCAAGCTGTTGGAGTCCCGCCTCCAGGAGCGAGAAGCCATCCTGGCACAGTACCACGAAGAAGATGAAGCCGTCGATATGCTTGGAGCCGGAGGTCCTCTGGGATTCTGGGTAACGTACTTATCTATTTGTTGCTAGATGCTAAAACTCTGCTTAGCGGTCTCGTCAACCTGACTAAGTTGAGATTCCTGAATATCTTCCGATCTCAAGGTCAAGTATCGAAGTATCAACATTAGAAGCTCGAGATAAGTGATTAAGAACATCTAGATACCTAACCCACGTTCGCAAGCAAGTTAAAATGGAAAAGAAAAGAGGCAAAATAATTCAGCTTGAACTCGCGACCTCTCATCATTCTAGCGACCAAGCACCGGTACATACGGAATACACATCACATATTCGCCAAACATCTGCTTCCCACCAAGCCTACCGCACCGAAAAATGCACAAAAAAACAAGCCATCCATGGCATTATGTAGGACCGTGAGCCAACACACAACTCGCTTCTTGGAAGCTAGAATTGTACCGCTCAGCTATCGACTACAACGGACGGTGCTTGTTGCCTACCACTTCACGCTCCCTCCCCAAAAGGGTCCGACACAAATTCGGATCTCAAGACTCGATTGATAATCTATCCGCATCCCACCTTGCCTAGCATATTTTCATGACCCCAACGCCGCAGCGAACCCGTGTACCACAATCTCCTCCCAATCACCCCCACCTCACATCCCAGCAGCAAGAGTATACCCCCCATCAACAGCAAGCGTCTGCCCGTTCAAATACTGATTACACGCAAAAAACAGCACCGTAGACGCCATATCCTCATCCTTTCCAGGCCGTCCCGCAATAACCTTATCAGCATACTTCTCCTTTGGAATCTCGCTCTTCTGCTCCTCATCAGCCGGCTCCTTGGTCGTCATCTCACTGGGGAAAACACCAGGCGCAATACTGTTCACGCGGATCTTCAACCCATTGGACGCAATCTCCTCGGCGAGCATGCGATTCACGTGAATCGTCGCCGCCTTGGACGCGTTATACGAGAAGTGGTGCTGCGATTTCTTAATCATGCCGCTGATGCTGCTGATGTTGATGACGGTGCCGGACCAGCCGTGTTGTTTGTCTGTGGATTTCTGCAGGAGGGGGAGGAAGCTCGCGGCGACGTAGAAGACGGCCGCGACGTTTGTGCGGTAGGTCTCGGTCCAGTCCTCGAAATCGGCGGAGGCGTCGTCGAAGAGGCTTGCTTTCATGTCCTGCGCGGAGTCGCTCTCGACTTCGAAGGCGGCGCTGGAGACGCCGGCGTTGTTGACGAGGATGTCGAGGGCGGATTCCTTTGATTCGATTTCCTTGTAGAGTTTGTCAATGTCGGATTTCTTGGTGACGTCTGCCACGATGGGGACGATGGAGCCGGGGGCGTTTTGGCCGTAGGTTTGGACGGTGTTGTCGAGCTTGGATTGGTTGCGGGAGGTGATGTAGACTTTTGCGCCGTTGGAGGCGAGGGCTTGGGTTGCCATTAGGCCTATGCCTGTGCCGCCGCCTGGAGGGGGTTAGACCACGGTCTCGGAGGATGAGGGAAAGGAAGTATCGTACCCGTGACGAGAGCGACTTTGCCAGTGAGGTCAAAGAGGTGGTTGCGGGTGAAGAGCTTGTTGCCCTCGGGGCCGGATGTCTTTTGGCCAGTAGACATTTTGGCTTGTTGGATGGGGTGTTTGCGGGATGTGATGTGGATCGTGGGTGTGATGTTGGGAGAAAAGATTGTTGCGTGTGCTCGCGTGATGAGTGAGGTGGAAATACTCAATTTAGCTGTGTTGACGGCGTGAGGGAGCACAAGAAGAGGTGAAGTTGAGGGCAGAAGGCGGCGGCTATATAATCCTCGTACTGAGGTGACGACTGGATGGGAAAGTACACGGGATGATCTCATCGTTATCTAACAAATCGAGACTAGATGCAGAAGGCGCCAATTGAAGCGTGGGAGACACGGAAGAGGCTGTCATGTCATCTTAAACACAATGCAATGCACGCGCGGGAGCAACTGCAGCAAGCCCCAAGCGGTGCTTTTAAGGGAAATAGCCCTGTCATCGAGATTCTACGGTCAGACTTACACACGTAAAATTCTCGTCGGGTAAGGCTGGCAGCGAATTAGTGTCCGCCATAGGGATGGTACACGAGCGGATGAGGTCAGTGAAGCCTCCATGACGACACCCACATGCAGTCAACCCCTGGGCCCGCGGAGGGAAAGATCCGGCGAGAGCTCCGGGCGCGGGGGAACTGGAGCTATGGCGGGGCACATGGCATGAGGTAAGCCGACTGCCCCGCCCGTTTGACAATCTAGACCGGCCCAACTTACACAACCTCACCGGCTACACCTCACCTCACCTTGCTCACCTTGCCTTCCTCTCCTTGCCTTATCTTGCATTGAGCCTCAACTAATCACACCAAAGCAACACCAACAAAGACACACCCCACTGACGGCACATAGAAATAGCCTAACCATCATGTGCATAGGAAGAAGCCATCCTGGGTATTTATTCATACAAAACTAATACAATCACGCCCTGATTATCCTCACCTCACAGTGATGTGCTGAATAGCACTCTTCCACTTTTGCTCATCGCTCCTGTGAATCCCATGTTAGCAAATACATCCATCATCTACACATCAAAAGGGAGATCAAAACTTACTTGTCAAACTTGAGAATCCTCCCCAGAACAGGCACAAGCTGCTCCCGCAACTTGTTATCCTTCTGCTCCAAAAACTGCAACATAATCGTCTTGAGATATAACGTATCCGCAGACCCTCCCGCACCTCCAGCCGCAGGCCCGCCATTCAGCCCAGACCGATTCGAGTCCATCGAACTCCGACCGCTTGTGACACTCGCCCCAAGCTTGGTCTGCACCGTCTTGAGCTCCTTGTTCACCTTGTCAAACCTCTGCTTCGACTCCTCAAGCAACCTCCTCAAATCAGACTTTTGCCTCTCGGCGTCCCGAACCTGCTGCTCCGACGCATCCAGCGTCGTCCGCAGATCCGAAACAGCAGACCGCATCTCCTTGACCTCCGCCTCGGCCTTCTCTTCCACGGATTCAAGCTCCTCCCGCCTCCGCCTCCAATCCCTCTCCCGGCTCTCCAGCTCCTCCTTCTCCGTCGAAAGCGTCTTAATATCCCGCTCCAGGTCGCGAATCTTTTGCTTGAGCTCCTCCGTCTCCCTCGTCTTGCGACGCGCGAGCGTGCTCGATTCGTCCTCCATCCGGTCCCGCTCCTCAATCGCAGCCTCCATCCGCGCCCGCATCTCCCGCACTTTACTATCGGCGCGCTCGTCCACGTCAGCAAGGAGCCCCCGCATCCGCTCCGCCTCACGCGATCGCTCCGAAAGATGCTTCTGGATCTCGGCCAGCTCCTCCTCAAGCGACTCGGACTGCGAACGCGCTTCCTTGAGCTGTATCGTCAGCTCGCCTGTCTGGTCGCGCATGCTGCCCAGTAGACCCTGCGCGTTCGAATACTGCTGCGTCTTGAGATCCGCCTCCTCCTGAAGAGACTTCTTCTCCTTTTCGAGCTTCTCGATTTGCTCTTCGAGCTCCTTGACCTTGGGCCGGAGTTTGTTGGCGTCTTCCTGCACCCGCTGGAGCTCCCGAGCCGTCTTCTCCTCCTTGGCAGCGAGCTCAACCTTTTCGGCCTCGGAGCGACGCAAGTCGCGTGCAGACACCCGCTGGGCATCCTCGAGACGGAGCTTGTTGTTCGTCTCGGCCTCAACCTTGCCGCGGAGCGCCTTGATCTCGGTCTCGCGGTCCGACGCCAGGCGCTGCGCCCTCGTCACTTCCGCCTTGAGATCCTTCTCCTTCTTCTCGAGGTTACGCAGCTCCGCATTCTTCGCGGTAAGCTCCTCCTTGGTCGTCTTGAGAGCAGCAGAATCTTGACGCAGGCTCTTCATCTCAGGCTGCGCCTTTTGCAGCACCTCACGCAGTTCGGTGAGATCCTTGTACCTGCTCTGCGCCAGCTGTTGCGCGGCGCCAAGATCAGACTGCAACGTCGACGACTTGCTCTTGAGATCCTCGTACTCGCGCTGGAGGTTGTCAAACTCGCTCTGGAGCTTCTCTGTCGCCTTGGCATCGTTTGCCGAAGATCCAAGCTCCTTCTCAAGCTCCTCGATCCGCGTCTGCAGAGCTTTCTTCTCAGCCTCAAGGTTCTTGATCTTCTCCTTAGCCACAACATGCTCCTGGCCAATCTCGGTGACCTCGTCACGGAGCGTCTCAATTTCCTCGCGAAGATCCTCCTCGGTCTTGCGCTGCTTCGTCAGTCTCTCGATCTGGGAGTCCTTGGTGGTGACTTCCTCCTTGAGACGAGTAATCTCCGCTTCCAGAGCATCCGTGTCAACATCCTTGGCCTCCTCAGCTGCGGGGGGTGTCGCGGTTCCTGCGGTCGTAGTGGGCGTGGCAGGCGTCGCAGCGGTGGCGGCAGCAGCACCGCCCTTGCCCTTCTTCTTCTTGTTCTTCTTGGCGTTCTTTGAAGTACCGGCAGCACCTCCGGCTGCGGGCGTCTCGGTCGGCCCAGTCGTTGTTGGGGTAGCGGGTACGGATTCGCTCGCCTGCTTCTCAAGCTGCTTAGTAAGGTCGTCAATCTTCTTCTCGTTGTCAGCCTTCTCCTTCTTCAAGGTCTCGATCTGGCCATTGAGAGTCTTGATGTTCTTCTCCACGTCCGTCTTGGCGGCCTCCACCTCCTTGACACGAGCTTCCTCCTTGTCTGCGCGTGCGTTGGACTGTGTAAGTTTCGACTGTGCCTCCTTTGCGTTCTTCTTGGCAGACTCGACTTCGCCCTTGAGCTTGGCCTCGACCTCCTTGAGCTGTTTCTGCGAGGCTTCCAGACGTTCGGTGAGAGACTTGATCTCGTTGTTCCTCGCTTTCAGCTGCGTCTCCAGAGAAGTCTTGACGGCAGCCACATCGCGCAGCTCACCAGCCTCCTTGGTCACCTTGTCGAGATTCTCCGTCAGATCGGCACTGGATTCCTTGGCGGCGGCGAGTTCGGCCTTGAGCGAGTCGACCTCTGTCTTGAGCTCCGCCTTGACGGTCTCAACCTGCGCCTTGAGCTTCTCAATCTCCTCGTCCTTGGCCGCCATGTCGGATTCGTACTTGGGCGCCTCCTCATCGTAGGAGAAGAAGTCGCCCGCAGCCTCGTCGGGCTTCTCCGCCCCAGGCTCCTGCGCCTTTTGCTTGGGAGAGAAGATGCCGAGAGCCTGCTGCAGGGGGGACTTGACGGCGGACGCATCGGGAGACTTGACGGAGCCGTCGTCCTTTGTATCCGTCGCGTCGTCCACTTTGTCCTTGGACTCTTCCGTCGGAGGGGCAGTTGCAGGTGCCGGTGCCGCAGCCTGCGCCGCTTTGAGCTCCTCAACCTCCTTTTTGAACTTCTCCACGTCCTTCTCGGCGGCTTCGCACTTCTTCTTGAAGTCGTCCTTTTCGATCGATACCCGCTTGTACTCGTCCATAATCATCTGCTCCTTCTGCTTCAAGGAGTTGAGATACTCGACGAGAGCCTCGGGTTCCCGGATCGAACCGACGCTGGTGTGCTCCTTAAGTACACGCTCAAAAGGCTCGATGGAGGTGGCGCGACCGTGGGCGATTCTGTAGGATCGGAGGAGTTCTGCACTTTTATGTCAGCGTTTCGAGTTCAAACACGGTGGTTTGCGTGTGTGCGCGTGCAAGTGGTATACGCACCAGGGTACGTCTTCTCCAGCTTCTCCAACTTGCGAAGCTTCATCTTGACCTCGGGAGACATCTCCGCCGCAACAGCCGGCGGCGCAGCAGCAGCAGCGCCCTCAGCACCCTTCTCCTGGTCCTTGTCCCCGTTCTGGCCCTCCTCCGCCTTATCCTTGACGTTCTCCTCGCTCTTCTCCATATTGCCGTCCTTATCCGCAGCAGGCTTCGGTGTGCCTACGCGACTCGGTTCCTCGCTGTCGTCAAGCGCAAACGCCGCCTCAAAGACAGCAGGGTCCGGGTTCGAGGGGCTTCCGCCGTCGTCCTTTGCGCCGGCGTCGGCTGCCGCCTTCTTGGGACGGGGTCGTCGGGCGGGCGACTGGTTGCTCCGCGAGGTGGAGTCGGACCTGCGCGGGGTGCCTGTGCCTGTGCCTCCTCCTGGTTCGATGCGCTGTCGTGCTTGCTCCTGTCGAGCCTGTTCCTCCGCGATTGTCCGATCGATGGCGCCCTTGAGCCTCTGTTGGATTCCCATCATTGTCAGCGGGGATAGGTTCTGCGATGTGAAAGGGGGGGAACACGGGAATGCAGAAACGGAGAATGGGTAGCCGAAACCACCACGTGTAGGTCTAGATCAAGGTTTTCTTATCCCGGGGAAGAGGGTCTGTGGAAAGAGAGTAAGAGGGTTTGGAAAGGAAAACCAGAGACGAACCTGGAACATGTTGCCGATCTAGGGATGATGGGATTACCCTGTGACCATGGAATCCCTCTCTGGGTGTATCGTTTACAATTCGGAGGTGCAGCAGGGAAGGTAAATGGTAAAAGTGGCTCAAAGTCTGAGAGAGAGCTATGCGCAATGGTCGATGTCGAGGATCGAAGGGCGCTGCATTATTGGTGGCGCAAGCACTACGTGGAGAAAGGGAGAGGGAGAAAAGGAACGTTTGGGCCAGCGGTGGTCTTTTGGAGAGGGTGTTTGGGACGAGAGAATGCGAATGGTGTGTGTGTGTGTGTATGTTTGTGTGTAGGTGTGTGGTGGACGGGGAGGAATTTCATCCAAGGGACCCTTCGTACATTGGATGCGTCGGGTTTGAATTCACAAGTGTCCTTTCCTCACCTTTACCTTACCTTGGGTAGTACCTTAGTGAGGCGCTCAGCCTGCAGGGAGCTGTTCCAGGGTCACCGAGGTGCGTTGCGTTGCGTTGCGGGTGTGGGGACCTCTGCGCCCTTTAGCGTTCAGCCT